TCTTGGTCTCATATCGTAGTCGTTTAGCATAGTATTGGCCGCATGTTGTTTAAGGCTTAGGTTCTAGAATTGTTGTAGATACTTTAGCTTTAGGTCTTTCACTAGATTTGTGTCTTTCAGTTTTAAATGTCGTTCAACGTTCGTTCGCATTCAACTATGCACGGTTTAGGCATATCTCGGTGAGTTCGTAGCTAGGTGCGTTTATTTATTTCATTTCCTTTCCTTTCGCCTTTCATCTGTTTTTCTTACCCGTTCCTCTTTCCATCTTGATCTTAACGTTAGTTTTTTGTTAGCCATGAACTTCTCTTGCACCTCGTTTGTTTCCACCATTCGTTTCTCTTGTTACATATTTGTTTTCTTCCATGGTTATCTTTTCTTTGTTAGCCTGAACGCGTTCCTTCTAGTTTTATTGCTCGTGCTGAGAACCTAATTCCCAATCTTTTGAAATCTCTCTCTCTCTCTCTCTCTCTCCTCTCTCTCTCTCTCTCTCTCTCTCTCTCTCTCTCTCTATCTCTCTCTCTCTCTCTCTCTCTCTTTCTCTCTCTCTCTCTCTCTCTCTCTCTCTCTCTCTCTCTCTCTCTCTCTCTCTCTCTCTCTCTCTCTCTCTCTCTCTCTCTCTCTCGTTCTCTCTTTTCCGTTCTGTCTCGTTCTCTCTTTCTCGTTCTCTCTTTTCCATTCTGTCTCGTTCTCTCGTTCTCGTTATCTCGTTCTTTTTCTCTCACATTTTTTTCTCCTTTCCTTTCCATTCTTTTTAACGGTCATTGTTTTTTTTGTAAGTCTGCTTTCTGCCTCCTCATTTCCTGGTGTTACTTAAATCGTTTTCCCTTTATTTCAGATCGTGTTATTTGAGTCGTGTTTCATTTTTTCTCTTGATTTTTATAACCGTTAATAGGATTTTTTTATAACCCATCGCAATAGGTTAATCGCCTTTTTACAAGTCGTTTTCTATATTTAGCTCGCTTGTCCTAAGCCTTCCTCTTATTTGCTGTTTTTTGGACGAGAATCTAAACTTCCCCTCCCTCCCCTCTCTTTCCCCCACCACCCTTCCCTCCCCTCCTCCCCCCCCCCCCCCCTTTTTTTTATGTTCAGAGGCTTTGCTATTTCCTGCGCGCTGCCAGGATTTCTTATGAAGTGTAACGATAATAGTCGTGACTTGTAGAGCTGTATTGTATTGATAAATCTTGTTTGCATTTGTTTTATTGTTTTTACTGTTTTTTTTTTCATTGCCCTTTTGTGTGTGAACGGATTCTGTCTGAGTTGTGTGCATATCGGTATGTGTGTCAGTGCGTGTCTTTGTGTGTGCACACTCATCCGTATGCATCTGTCATCGCATTAACAATGCGGATCTGTGGGTTTTAAAAAGATGGTCAAACCATCATTTCCGAGAAGGTTCTTTGCGCACTCAGTGAGTGTGTCCACTTGAACTGGATTTGATGGATCTTGATCATTTTTTTAATTTACACAGATTGTGTTGTTTCATGTAACGGTTGGATGATTCAGAAACTATGCTATTGAGCTCCCCCCCATGCTAGGCAGGGGATGCGGTAGCATAGAGCCTGTGTCAATTAACTGTTACGCATTTCCATCATGCTAAGCATTCATTTAACTACGACTTAAAGCTGGAAAATATACTATGGTATATTTACCACAGTAGCATATGCATTATATTTATGCATTGTTCATTCAATATTTGGTTCACCATATCCATCATTATACTTCATCTATGCATAACATGGTACGGAATAGACAGTCATGTTCATGTTTGATCCATACAATATACGGGTAGGTTCAGTCGAGGCAAACTAGGAAATGAGAACGAATGTGGCGAATTGCCGAGGCAAATACATACCGTAGCAGTCAATCACTTACCATAACTACCGTTCACTACATTTATTTTTATTTTTTTTCGAGGTTGAAAAAAAAAATGTACATAACGATCGTAATAGGTTGCTTCGCAACCCAAAAAAATATCTTGCTGGTCATTGTCACAGAAGGTTCAGTGGTGTATCACTATCAAAGTGAAGCCATTTTGAGTTGGACTTGATTGGCATAGATATTATTTTGGGATTTGCAGATTGTATTGCATTGTTGGAACAATTCAATTTTTAACTGCTGACTTCCCCCCCATGCTAGGCGTGGGAGGCGGTAGTATGTATGAATGAATTTGAAATTTCAAAACTTTTTTTTTTTGCATGTGTGGAACATATTCACTGATTTTGTGAATATGTTCCTGTTTCGTAGTGAAAACGACAAAATTTGCCCTGAGTATTTTTTCAAGGTTTTATGATTTTGTTTTACAGAAAACAAAATGATCGAATTATGTTTAATTGTCAATATAAGAAATGGATGATGCATTGATGTTGGTTGGGGTACATATAGCTAACCCTAAGTTTTGTACCCCCTAAGACAAACCTCACTATAGGCTACAACATTTGACATACCCCCATAGCCTAAGTGAGGGGTGTCTAGCAGAACCAAACGAGTACGGTCACAAGACCAGTCCAAGAAACAAGGCTCAGGGTGGATCACAACGTCACCACACAGTCTGAGCACAAACAACAGTGGCCACAAGGCCAGTCCAAGAAGTAACAGAGGTATATAGAAAGCAAAGTAAACAGTACACTCAAGTCTAAGCAACACGAGAACCAGTGTCAACAAGGCCTAACTGCACACAGCACCTCTGGTGGTCACAAGGCGGAAGCGCCTTGGTGAAGATGTCTGCAGTGTTGGCCTCGGACTCCACAAACTCAAAGCGAGCCTGTCCACGCCTCTGCAACTCTCGCAGAAGAAAGTACCTGACGTGAATGTGCTTCACTCTGCTCTCCAGTCGTGGCTCTCGACAAAGGAGAATAGACGCCTTGTTGTCAGTGAACAAGGTCGGTGCAGAGCTCGGCCGCTCACCAAGGTCGGTGAGCAAGAAGGTCAACCAACGCAGCTCCTGTGCCGCCATGGCACCAGCGTAGATCTCAGCCTCAGCTGTAGAGGTCGAGACCGAAGAGGAGCGCGTGGACCGCCAGGAAACAGCTCCAGAACCCAGGCTGAAACAGTACCCCTGAGTAGACCTGTGAGTCTCAGCGTCGTCAGCGTAAGAGGAGTCACAGTGACCAGTAAGTACGACAGACTGCTGCCCTCCAAGAACTAGCCCCACGCCTGACGTCGTCGCTAGGTACTTCGCCACCCTCACAGCTGCTGTCCAGTGAACAGGACGGTGTCTCCCTGGCGCAACAAAGCGCGCAAGAACGCTGAGAGGGAAGGCGAGGTCCGGGCGAGTACAAGTCATCAGGTACATGAGGCAACCCACAAGCTCTGCGTAGGGACCACTAGGCTCGAACGGCTCGTCAGGAAAGGGTCCAGTGAGTCTGTGGTCAACAGCAAGAGGTGTGCGCTGTACTGTGGAGTGCTGAAGCCCGAACCGCTGAAGGACCTGCTGCACCATGTGCGACTGTGAAAGTGTAATGGTGCGAGCAGCTCTGTCCCTGGTGATCTGCAGGCCAAGGTAGCGGCGCAGCTCACCAAGATCAGTGCAGGTGTGTCTCTTCTGCAGTTCGGACTTCACGTGTGCCAAAGCAACCCTGTCAGGGGTGGCGAAAACAAGGTCGTCAACGTAGACCAGAACAAAGAAAGGTGTGGGGCCACGACGAACGAACAGCGACGGGTCAGCAGAAGACGGCTGGAACCCAAGGTCAGACAGGGTAGAACGCAGGGTGTCGTGCCACTCACGAGGAGCCTGACGAAGTCCGTAAACCGGTCGCCTCAGCCTCCACTGGGTCCCAGGAGGGAAAGAGCCAGTGAAGGCAGAGGGACGACGCAACCAGACCTCCTCGTGAAGACTGCCCTGAAGGAAAGCAGTAGAGAAGTCGAGAGAGTGTAACTCGTAGTCTCTCTGTGCTGCTACGTGCAGTAACACCCGAAGAGTGGTCATCTTCGGGGTGGGCGCGAAGGTCTGAAAGAAGTCAACTTCCTCGCGCTGACTGAAACCTCTAGCCACGTAGCGCGCCTTGAAGACCGGAGGAGATCCCGGTGGCCGCTTCACCCTGTAGATCCACATGCCGTCGACTACGTTCGCCCCCGGAGGGGGAACCTCATCGACGTAGGTGCCTGTGGATCTGTAGGAGGCCATCTCTGCGTCCATGGCAGCTCTCCACTGAGAGGCCCAAGGCCCTGACACTGCCTCAGCGTAAGTGCGAGGAGTCGGAATGTCAAGGGCGTCGGGGTCACCCTCAGGGGCGAGGAGCATGGCACAGAGATGAGGGGAAGCGGCGGCCAGGAACTCTAGCTCAAACTGCCTGTCCTCTAGGGCGTCACAGCCAAGGGCAGACACACCCCCGACGGCCAGAGGACTGGAAGGAGGAGCAGCCACAAGCGCGGTGGCGAAGTCAAGGCGGCGGGTAGAGGCAAACTCAGTGACTGCGGCAGTAAGAGCGGACACAGAGGACACAGAGGCACGAGGGTGAGTAACAAGTGAGGCGAGAACACGAGAGAGAAGAGGACGGTACGTGCGGTAGTAGTCAGTGACAGGAGTAGGGAGCGACGCAGTGAGAGCCGACTCAGGAGGAGACGGAAGCACAGACGGAGACGGACGAGGTGGACTAGAACGAAGTAAGGCAGTACGAAGGTCAGTGAAGGGAACAGGAGACGAGGGACGAGCACGAGGGGAGCGACGAGAGGCCCAAGTCTGAGAAGGAGGAGGGGACAACGAAGACTGAGAACGAGGGAAAACAGCGGGAGAGGGGTCAGGAGGAGGAAGCGGAGGACCAGAGACGGGAGGAGAGGGGGAGGAGGAAGGAGAGGGAGAGGGGAGACCAAGGGTCCGAAGACCCGAGACAGGAGGAGGAGACGGCAGCTGCTGCTGCTGCGGCTGCTGCGGCTGCTGCTGCTCCAGCGGCTGCTGCCCCTGCTGCTGCTCCTGCTGCTGCTCCTGCTGCTGCTCCTGCTGCTGTCGCTCCTGCTCCTCGAGCCGCTGCAACTCTCTCTCCTCTCTCTCCAACTCCAGCTGCTCCTCACGAGCACGACGAACACGAGCCTGGAACCTGGTCGGGTAGGGGTGGGGGGAAGGAGTAGTGTCCGGGGCAGCGGCAGCCCCAGAGTCGACCTCCGAAGCACCAGGCACACCACCCCCAGAGGCAGCACCAACACCAGCTCCAGACCCAGGCTCTCCAGAAACCGAAGGAACACCCTCACCCCCAGACGCAGCACCAGCACCCCCAGACTCCGCACGACCAGTACCAGCCCCCGGAGGAGAAGAGTCCTCTGCAACCCGCGGCTCAGCTCCAACTCCAGCACCCCCAGAACCAGAGACCTGTACAGGGACAGTCGTAGGACCAACCTCCCGAGAGGGAGCACCTACAGGAGGCGGTGAGGAAGACTGTGGGGAGGGAGGCTGTACAGGGGGGGCTACCGAAGGGGGAGGGCTAGCCTGAGACACACCAGACGGGGCTGGACCAGGGGGGGGAGGGGGGGGAGGGGGAGCGGCTGTCAGGAAGAGGGGGGGAGGAGGAACCGGGAGACCTCGACTGGGGTACCTGACGTAGTACGGGGTGGACTCCTCGAAACGGACGTCACGGGAGTCAAAGAACCGGTGAGAGGGAGGGTGGTAAAAGGTGAAGTCAGAGGAGTCCTCAGGGAAACCAAGGAAGACACAAGGAACGGCGCGAGGCGAGAGCTTGTCCGCGGAGGTGTCGCGGACAAGAGCCAAGCACCCCCAGACACGAAACCTCGACGCGACACCAGGGGACCCTGTCCAAAGACTGGTCGGTGAAGCCTCCGGCCGAGAGACGCGTGGCCAGAGGTTCAGCTGGTGCGCGGCGTACCTGACTGCGTATGGCCACAGGAAATGGGGGGCACGGGCGTGAGTCAAGGAGGTGCGGGCAATCTCCATGACCAGGCCTATGCGACGCTCAGCAACCCCATTCTGCTGTGGGGACTCCGGAAGCGTCCAGGACTGACGAATGCCCTGTTCGCGACAGAATCCAGCGAGAATGCCGGAGCGAAACTCGCCCCCGCGGTCGGAGTGGAGACAGCTGACACGACGACCACGAGTGTCCTGGGTGGTGAGCAACCACCTGATGAGCGTAGAAGTCACCTCAGACTTCCTCGCCAGGGGGAACACTGTGGTGTAGCGGGAGTAGTCGTCAACGACCACCAAAAAGAAACGCTCACGCTCAGGGCCAGGGCGAGGAGAGGGGCCCCAGACGTCCAAGTGCAGCGTCTCAAAAGGCTCGGTGGCCGGACGAAGGGAGGAGGAGTGAGGGGTGGCACGCAGCCTACCCTCGACGCAAGGACCGCACGGTGGTGCAAGGGACGGCGGCAGCGACGGCAAGACACGCGGGAGACCTAAGACTAGACGCTGACTAGACATAGCACGCAGACGTGGAAGAGAAGGGTGTCCCATCCGGTGGTGCCACAGAACGGTGGGGTGGGCAAGCGACCGACAGGAGCAAGACGCAGCGACTGGACTGGACGCGACAACCTGAGGGGACGGAACCACCTGGTGAGACGCAGGGAGGAGACTAGGGGGAGGGACAGGAACTGGGAGGAGTGGCTGCTGCGACGGCGGCCGCTGTGGCTGCGGCTGCGGCTGCTGCCGCTGCTGCTGCTGCTGCTGCTGCTGCGGCTGCTGCGGCTGCTGCTGCTGCTGCAGTCGCTGCTGAGCGCGCGGGCGAGTGTGAAGAGTGTAGAGACCGGAGCCCGGCTCAGCAGCAAAAGTGGCGAGGGGCTGGTAAGAGTCCCCGTCAACACACACCGCAGTCTCTCCAGAAGGCTCAAACCACACACCCACGTGCTGACTCACGAGGGGTCGCACGCCCACCAAGTTCCGGGAGAACGAGGGGACGTGAAACCCAGTGAGAGACCCAGAAGGAGCAGCCGGACACGGCAAGGTGGTAGTGTGACGCGCGGTGACTGGTCCCGAAGTGGGATCAGCCAGCGCCACAGAAACAGGCGCAGGAAGAGGCGTAAGTGTCGTGCTGTCACGAAAGAAGCAGTGAGAGGCTCCAGAGTCCAGCGTGAACGACAGCGAACCGTCCTCTGAGGTAGCCGCTGGACTAGAGTCTACACAAGAGCCTACACTAGCAACAGGCAACTGAGCAAGGCTAGCACCTAAGCTAACAACACCAGAGTAAGCAGAGTCAGAAACACTAGAGTCAACAACAGCATACATAGCATGAGGAGCACCAATCAGATCAACTAACTGCTCAGCAGACATGCCCCACAGAGCGGAGCCGTAGCGCTGAACCAGAGGAAGCCAGTCAAGGGCAGGACCGCCAACCCCGTAGGCCAACCGGACCGTGTCAGTGAGCTGAGCAAAGCACTGACCAGGGGGGTGAAAGCGGCCACAAGGGTGGCCCCGACGAGGACCTGTCAGAACCTGATAGGTGCAGGGAGGGTAAGCAGCACCACGCTGAGGCTGACGCAGCCCCGACCCCGGAGCCAGCTGCTGACGCTGCTGCTGCTGAGGCTGCTGGGAGGAGAGGGGCTGCTGGTGCTGCTGAAGCTGCTGCTGACGCTGAGCCTGGTACCACGCCGCTGCTCCACCTAGCGGGGCCGGCAGTACAGGAGACGACTGACGAGCTCGGGTGTCGCCACCACCAGCAGGCGCAGTGGAGTCACCAGCCGCTGCACGAGAGGTCTCTCCAGACGCTGCACTCCCACCACCGCCAGTCGCAACAGCACCCCCACTACCTCCGCTACCTCCGCCTCCACCTCCACCAGAACCACCTTTCTTGCCCCCCTTGCCGCGGGACCGCGACGCAGTCGTAACAGCAGCTGCAGTCGCGTCAGTAGCGGCAGTGGCAAGAGAGGCAGTGAAGGTGGGTAACTGCGGGACTGTGCACCCGTGGAAGAGTGGGGGGGGCACAGCACCAGAGGCGGCAGCTACCGAGCGAAGGTTGCTCTCGACGTCCTTGAGCGCAGACTCAAGGACCTCGACTGTCAGCTCACTAGGGTGCTTCAGCAGGAGCGCGTCACGTACGGAGGCAAGGCGGTCAGGGAGGCTAGTGGCGATGAAATAGATAGTAATCGCCATGGGGGGAGGAAGCAGTGCAAGCTGTGCCTCAGTGCAAGCAGCGCGGTAACTAGCGTCGAGCGAGCGGAGGTGAGCGATCAAGTCAGCAGAGCGCTCAAACGAGGCGAGATCAGGAAACAGGAACGGGAGGAAAAGACGGCCAAGAGAGACAGTAGCGGGAGTAGAGTAGCGGGCCTTAATCGCAGTGAGGTACGCAGCAGCGGTGCGAACCTGAGTGAAGTGGACCTCCTCTGACTCAGGGAGGAGGCTGCTGAGTGCGATGCAGGCCGCAGCGTCACGTGACGTCCAAGCCGTCCTGTCAGCGCGCTGACGGGCAAAGCGAGCCGTAGCAGCATCGTCAGGGGCAGGACCTAAAGCGGCAGGCTCGGGGGGCTCGGGGAGGTCACCAGTAGCGTGCGACCAGAGGGTCTCGCCCCCCTGGACTTGACTCTCTAACAGACGGCGAGCGCGAAGAAGCCAGACGGAAAAGTCAAGAGGTCTACCGTCAGCGTCGAAACGAAGAACTCGCGGAGTCGCCATAGCGAAAACTAACGCGAACGAGCAGGCGAGTAACAGCAGGAGGTAAGAGGCAAATTAGGGTTCAGGTGGGACTTAGTCGCAGCGGAAGAGCGGGCTAGAGCGACGGGCCAGGGCGTAGGGTCGACGGGACGGGGGAAAGGGCGGGCACGATGTGACGGGTCAGGGCGACGCGACGGGGAAGGGCGACGCGACGGAGCAGGGCGACGGGACGGGGCAGGGCGACGGGACGGGGCAGGGCGACGGGACGGGGCAGGGCGACGGGACGGGGCAGGGCGACGTGACGGGGGGAAAGGGCGCGACGCGACGGTGGGAAAGGGCGCGACGCGACGGGGGGAAAGAGCGCGACGCGACGGGGGGAAAAGGGCGCGACTCGACGGAGGGGAACGGGCGCGACGCGACGGGGGGAAAGGGCGCGACGTGACGGGGGGGAAAGGGCGCTAGGCGACGGGGGGAAGGGCGCTAGGCTCGGCACTAGGCGCGGTAACAACGGAACCGGTACGAACGAGAGGTAGGATCAGGCTCGGGAGATACGAACGGAGAACGGAGGAACGGGATCCCACAGGATCCTAACCTAACTGATACCATGTCAAAATGAGAAATGGATGATGCATTGATGTTGGTTGGGGTACATATAGCTAACCCTAAGTTTTGTACCCCCTAAGACAAACCTCACTATAGGCTACAACATTTGACATTAATCCCATAAATCATTCGTCCCAAAGAGTAATCTAGCACAAAAAAAAATCAAATGGAGAATATCTAATATAGCTGATTTATTACCATATTCCAGCACAATTTGAGAGGATGCTTATACCCGGTTTCTTTATCCTTTTCGTGATTTTTTTGGGTTGCGAAGCAACCTATTGCATTCGTTATGTAAAATTTTTTTTTCATCGCCTATAATTGAAAAAAAAAAAACAAAAAAGATGTAAATCTAGTGAATGATAGCCTAAATGTTTTCTAATCATTTGCGGTAACAGCTCAAGACGATGTGTGGTAGTATATTCTTTTTATTTTTATAACTTGCTCTGGCTCTTCATATAGATGAATTTAGTGGAAAAATGATAATATGGTAAGCATGCGGCTGTTTATTCCGTAATGCATACGCAGAAGTATTCTGCCGTGCATAAATAAAACTGGCATGCAGACGGTACGATGGATATAGTAAACGAAACATGGAATGGAAATGCATAAATATGATTCATATGATGTATCGGTATGCGTAGTATGTACTTATATATACTATACCAATCATAGGAATGCGTAATCCGTAATGCATACGCATAAGTATTCTGCCGTGCATAAATAGAACTGACATGCAGATGGTACGATGGATATAGTAAACGAAACATGGAATGGAAATGCATAAATATGATGCATATGCTGTAATGATATGCATAGTATATACTTATATGTACAATACCAATCATGTAAATGCGTATTATGATGAAAATGCGTGATAGTTGATTGACCCATACACTAGGCTACCGCATCCCCTGCCTAGCATGGGGGGGAAGTCAATAGCCTAGCGTTTGAATCATCCGACTGCCACATGAAATAACACAATCTGTGTGATCTAAAAAAAAGGTCAATTCCATCAAATCCAGTTCAAATGAACACACTCACTGAGTGGGCAAAGAACCTTCTCGGAAATGATGGTTTGATCCTAATTTTTAAAACCCACAGACATGCGTTATTAATGCAACGCACATACGCACACAAGACAACGCATACCCACACCAATTAAAGAAACAGTGACCTATTAACACATGTCATCCCTCTCACACTCATTGTTCTCACGCTCGCGTAAGTCTGCACTCGTTTTCATAATCTGTTCAAATGTATAATAATTAACTCATTGAAATTAACTTCATAAACCCCTGTGAGCATCTTCTCCGTTGTTCCAAATCGCTCAAGCTTCACCATTGCTGCAAAAAAAAAGGAGCAATTTCCAAATATTTAAAAAATGATATACATCAATCAAATTACAATTACGATGAGTACATATACATAATCACAATAAAAAACGTGCTCACGTCATGTCTCCTTTTGGCGGGTGTTGACGAAATCGGTGTGCTCGATGTGTCAAAGCTCGCCGGAGCGTCGCTCGACTGCGTGATCGTCGAGATGTCCAAGATGGTCTTGCTCACGCGTTCTCCTTCTGGACGGAAATGGACCTTCAATAACAATGAAAGGTACATACATAATAACTTGAGTTAGAGAACTATCAACACCATCCAAAAAAAGCATACTAAAGTGCACATTTACAAGTACACAAAAATGTTAATAAAGATATTAAAAACCACAACTGAATTCCCATACCTTCACATGCCACTGGCCTTGAAGCGCGCCCAATGCATCTTGCCGCTCGCCCAATGTCATGGAGTAGAAATTCGAAACCTGAAAACTTGGGAACAGTCGTCCCAAGTGTCAGAATGTTATTCTCTAGCCTGTAGTGGGGTGCTCTATAGCGAGTACAACCCATCTAGGGTTTGCTATATGTATCCTCATTGCTGCTAGTGAACCTCCTCTTTGCCTAAACTTTCTCTTGCCTAGCTAGGGTTCTCCTAGCTATGGCTCCTGCTTATGCTTACTCTCTTGACACCAAGATTTCAGGCTGAATCTCCAATCCCTGAGCCTGCGTTGTGAACGAATCTGAGAATGAAACACACATAAAATAATATTAAAACAATGCGAATGTATTAAAACAATGTGGAAAATATAGGAGAAACCAAAACAGAAATGATAGACATGATGCTTACCACTCTCGTGAACAACAAGAGTCGCTGTCACGTTATCAAACGCGCGGACTGATGTCGCTTTGTGGACGCGACATCTGTGGACCCCCGAAGCCGCGGAGGTGAAAACAGGCATTCCGCAAATGGAATCTCCTGCACCAGCAGCGCAGACAACTCGACTGTCGTGCACTGGGTCTCTGAGGTCTGCTGCAAGTGTTGCTATCTTCTCTTCGTTTGTTACCATCACCAATGTGTCCACATGAGACATCCTGATCATTCAAAACAAAAAATTGCTAATGAAATTCATGTTCGCTACTAACAGCTCAATTGTGCAAATTTTGATAACTTACAAGCTCACAAGACCAACGTCTTGTAGCTCGGTGACGGGTGCATCCGTTGTGACGGATGCTGGAACAGGATCGAGAATGACAATGTCCGAAGGCACTGTCGTCGTAAAAGCTGCTGATTTGAGATACACGTTGCTGATGAAGACAGGAACATCGCTAGCATCGGGGTGATCTGCAAAATAACTCTCACAGCTGGAGTTGAACCTGATGGCGGCATCCCCGAGCGCTATCAAAGCGCTCTTCATCGTTGAATCATGGATGCCAGCCGTGAACTTAGGGAGCGCGCGGTTCGGCTCGAAAGACGAGATCTTGAGCCTGACAGAAATGCAAGGGATCTGGAAATAACGGAGATGAATGATACAACAGAAATGAATACATAGAACACATGCAGAGAGACGTACCATGAGAGACGTACAATGTGTGGCATGAATGAATTGGGATAGAATAGGGGCAAAAATGTGAATCACAAATTATAAAAGTAAATGACAACTACAATTTGACAATCATACGTAAAAAGACGTAACAAATGTCGTCGTA